GGTGTTGGAGGGGTTGGGTGGGGTTAGGAGGGCTGGAGACTATGCCTCTATTTCATGCATCAATTCTCTATCCTTCGATCATCTCCTCATTGTCATTTTGACTCTGTTTACTTCTTTCTGCTCCCCTGAGCATCCATCCATGTTTCCATCCATCCTTTCATCCACTCATCCATTCATCTATTCATCCATCACTTAGCAGAAGGGTTGATCATAAGGCCCCAGGATCTGGAGCCATGAAACCGACACCATGGCGGAGAGGAAATGAAACGTGTTACTCATGTGCTTAAACCAAAAGTCAGTGTTTTCCACCTGCCAGGCACTCCTGCATTCAGAGTGCAGTTCTGCCCTTATGCTGAGCTTATTATTGCCTCTGCAGTTTCATTTTATAACAGAAAAGGCTCAGGCTCCGCAAATGAGGTTCTATAGCTGCGTGGCAGAGTTTGGATTGAAGCTCAGATGTGCAAATGCAGGCATCATTCTCTTCCTTGATTTCTCTATCCCAGGGTCCCAGAGATGCTTAGCTTCTGGGGAGGGTCAGGTCTAATCTTAGTGGAATGTATTAAGACTTTTATTTGATGGAGTCTCACTGTGTCACCAGACTGGAGTGCAGTGGGGCGACTTCGGCTCACTGTACAACGGGGTTTCACAATGTTGGCCAGGATGGTCTTGATCTCTTGACCTCATGATCTGCCCACCTTGGCCTCCCAAAGTGTTGGGATTACAGGCATGAGTCACCATGCCCAGACTAAAAATTTTATTTCTAACATGTATTTTCTCTTAGGAAATTTCAAGATTCTGATGTGTTTTTTCATATGGTGCTTACAATATGCAACTCATTCATATTAATGCTTATTCTACCTTTTCTTATATTTAACACACTTTATGATAGAATCTCACACAATTTTTCTTTTACAAACACAAAAAAACAATACTGACTGACTTATTCCTCTTACCTGTGGACAGTGAATTGCTCTTATCTCAATTAAGTGATCTAAATGTTGCATTGATAAGCTATAAATTACCTCGAACACCCCAGTTAAAAACAATTTACCATATTAAAAAACTTCAATCTTATCACCAGAACCTAAAGTCCATGTGAAATTACATGGCATGAAAAGACTAGTGAGGAAACTGTAGCCATAACACAAAGAAGAGGAAAAGCTGTGAGGCACACAGAGCTGGGGATAAACACATAAAGACATTACAAAACCAAAGATAATTAGAAAGCAAGAACAGAAATTCTCTTTAAATTCATGAGTTGGTTCTGCAGCCTGGAAACAGATTCCTCTCTGCAGGCACAATTAATGCCATTTCTTCACCATATATATTTTCAATTTTTTACCTGGAGCTACAAACTAACTCCAGGAATATTTATGGCTAATTATGAAGCATCTGTTACAATCCCAGCGTTTTGTTTGTTCACTACAAGAATACATCAAAACATCCCCATGACTTACAAAGTTTTCCCAGTACTTACCTGAACAAATTGGCACAATAAACTCATTTATGTCAGTTATAAAAAGTGAAAGAACAATAACTAAAGAAAACAGCTTATGTAGTGTTCTTCAATTAAAACAACAAAATGAAATGTTCTAACTAAAATATAACTTAATACACACATTATGAAATTACAGCCAAAAATTATTTTGGGCTCACTACTGAATTTTATGAAAATAATTCTTATAATTTCTGACCAGCTCACATAATACTTCATGAAGTGAAAACAAAAAAAGAGAAACAAAGAAATTATAGCTCTAGCATGAGCATCAGACAAATAAAAACAGATAATTTGCATGTGGAGATTTTCAACAACAATTCAATAGACTTTACAATAATTAATTAGATAAAAAATATAGATGTGGTTTCAGAATGTTTTAGGTTTCTAGATTTCTAGTAAATTATCCATGGTATTAATAAAATCTTCTTTGTTCTAATATTGCTATTTTCTTTGGAAAACAGGTGCAAACTCACACAAGCAGAATCGCTCGCTCCATAATTTTCTTAAACCTAATGTTTATCTTTAGAGCAATACATTTATATATTTAACTTCATGTAAATGAAACTAAAGTCTGTATGAGTTTGCAGGAAAAGATGCCACATGTTCAAAGATAAACATAAAACATTTTTAAAGTACTCATTCAGGACTCAGAAATGTATGAATTATAATTATACTCTGATATAATACTACAATCATAATCTTACATTTAAAAATAAAGTGTATAACTGGATTGTGTATAATACAAGGGATAAATGCTTGAGGTGATGAATAACTCATTTACTCTGGTATGATTATTATATGCCTATATAAGAAAATAATGCATATATATCATAAATACACATATTATGTACCCACAAAAATTTTTTAAAAAACAATAGAATGCAACATATGGAGATTATATTCTTCAATGTATTTGCTATTTAAAGCCACTGGGAAAAGAATACTAAAATTTTCATTCAACTATGTTACCATTGTTACCATCTTTTACCTACAACCTTGAGTAAGGAAGGACAGGTTAAAGCTGGTGGCATAATAACACTTCATTCAAGCAACAATTATTTCAACACATTAACAATTTTGTTTAGTTAAAAAATTATGTTCCTGCCTAATATTAAGAGAATTTTAAAATTTACTGCATTTTATTACATAAATGTACAATTGGTAAAACAATTTACCACTAAAATACAGATTATTTTTCTCACTACTATGAAGAAGAATATTACTCTGAACACATCCTCATGAGTCACTCAATATTTTCAACTACAAAAAAGCCTCTCTGCTTAGATTTCCATTGTGGTTCTTTCATTTCTGTCCTCTTTCTTATACAGTTCATGAATAGGCTGGGCACAGTGGCTCATGCCTGTAATCCCAACACTTTGGGAGGCCGAGGTGGGTGGATCATGAGGTCAAGAGATAGAGATCATCCTCGCCAACACGGTGAAACACCATCTCTACTAAAAATACAAAAATTAGCTGGGCGTGGTAGTGTGCACCTGTAGTCCCAGCGACTCGAGAGGCTGAGGCAGAAGAATCATTTGAACCTGGGAGGTGGAGGTTGCAGTGAGACAAGATTGTGCCACTGCACTCCAGCATGGCAACAGAGTGACACTTCGTCTCCAAAAAAAAAAAAAAAAAAAGTTCATGAAGAATGCCTCCCTAACAAAAAATCATCTCTTGTCTCTGATGCAGCAACAATTCATCACATGCTTTCACATAAACAGGAATGCTGAAATAGTATGAAATAATTTGAGTCGAACTATTATATGCTTTTCAAAAAATCTATACTTTTTTTCAAGTGAAAAAAATATACTTTAAATTTAGTATCTCTTCAAAAATCTTTTTTCAACTTATATACAAAGAAATTCTCTAACAGGTTCAACTTTGGATTGCTTTTTCTACTTAATACTCCAATTTACTGTAGTATCTGGTGTTAGCTCCCTAGTTCTATTGTAAATCCTGATGTTTACATAGTCTTAATTTTAGACTAAATATTTCTTTACATTTAATGCATCTACAAAATGTCTTCTCGTATAAACTCTCTAGTGCTTTTTAAGCTGCAGTTTTTTGAACAAATGTTTTTCCACATTTATTTCATTTGTAGGATTTCTCTCCCATATAAATTTTCTCATGTTGAAGAAAGTCTCCTTCAGGGTTTTCCTCTATTACAAGGTGTGCACAATTAAGATCCATGATAGATGTACTGGTACTACAACCCTCTTTATATTTGTATTGTTTGTCTTAAGATTACTCTTCTCTTTAAAGGCCTATATTTTCTAAAAAGTCTTTCATCATAAATTATATTTATAATGTCTTTACGAAGTCTGAACTTTGCTTAGTTTAGTTAGCAAAATGTGAGTAGATATGACTTTTCTACAATTTTTATATTTCTGCAACTTTTCTCAAGTATAAAGGCTATCATGTGCAAAAAGATGAGCATTGGTAAAGAGTTTTGCCACAGTTTTTGTATTTCCAGATTTCTTCAGTAGAAATTATATACAGTAAGATGTGACATGCATTTGAAAGCTTTGCCATTGCCACATTTTTCTTATTATTATGGCTTTTCACCAATATCGTTACTCTTATATTTAGAACAGACTGAGGTGTGGTTAAAAGCTTTGCCACATTTTTTCATGTTTGTAGTTTCTCTCCAGCATGAATTATCTTATGATTTAGAAAGGACTGAGGGAGATTTAAAGACTGCCATATTATTCACATTTGTAAGACTTTCCTCCAGTATGAATTCTCTCATGTTTAAGAAGCCTGGGGTATGGCTTAAAGGCTTTGCCACATCCTTGACATTTCTATGGTTTTATATCCAGCATGAATTTTCTTATATTCATTTCTCTATCTTCTTCTCAGTAAGTTTGTGGAATGAATCTTTAATACCCAAGTATGAATTTTCATAAAGGCATGCAAACTGTCTTAAGGCTTTGCCACATTCTTCACATTTGTAGAACTTTTCCACAGAATGAATTCTCTTGTGTACAGTAAGGGTCTCTTGAGAGCCTATTAAAGGATTTTCTTCATGTGTAGGCTTTCTCTCTGGTATGAATTCTCTTATGTTTAACAAAGTTTGAGGATGTGGTAAGGACTCTGCAACATTCTTCATATGTGAAGGGTTTTGCTCCAGCATGAATTCTCTTATGTTCATTAAGGGCTGAGGACCATTTAAAGGCTTTGCCACATTGTTCACATGTGAAGTTTCTTTACAGCATGAATTATATGTATTAAGGGTTGACGACCAATTAAACGCTTTGCCACATGTGTAGGGCTTCTCTCCAGCACAAATTTTCTTTCTTTCTTTTAAGCAGAGTCTCGCTCTGTCACCAGGCTGGAGTGGAGTGGCATGATCTTGGCTCATAGCAACCTCTGACTCCCTTGTTCAAGGTATTCTCCTGCCACAGCCTCCCGAGTAGCTGGGATTACAAGTGCCCACCATCACACCCAGCTAATTTTTGTATTATTTTTTTTTTCTTTTAGTAGAGATGGGGTTTCACCGTGTTGGCCAGGATGGTCTTGATCTCCTGACCTGGTGATCTGCCCACCTTGGCCTCCAAAAGTGCTGGAATTACAGGCATGAGCCGCCACACCTGGCCTTACAAATTTTCTTATGTTGATTCACGATTGTGGACCATTGAAAGGCTTTGCTACATTCTTCAAATTTGCAGGGGTTATCTTCAGTATGAATTTTCTCTTATTCATGGGTCAGGACTGTTTTAAAGGTTTTGTCACATTCTTTACATTTGTAGGGTTTATCTACAGTATGAATTTTCTTATGTTGACTCAGGAGTGAGAACTGTTTTTTATTTTTTATGTTCATTCAGATTTGTGGACCATCCACAGGCTTTGCCACATTCTTCCCATTTGTAGTTTCTCTCCAGTATGAATTATCTTGTTTAGCAAGGTTTGAGAATGAGGTAAAGAACTTCATAGTTGACACTTCCGGGGTTTCTCTCCAGTATAAATTTTCTCATGTTCATTCAGTTTTGTGGACCATCCAAAGGCTTTGCCCACATTCTTTAAATTTATAGGATTTCTCTCAAGTATGAATTTTCTTATGTTTATTCAAGTGTGAGAACCGTTTAAAGGCTTTGTCACACTCTTTACATTTGTAGGGTTTATCTACAGTATGAATTTTCTTATGTTGACTCAGGAGTGAGAACTGTTTAAAGGCTTTGTCACATTCTTTACATTTGTAGGGTTTATCTGCACTATGAATTTTCTTATGTTGACTCCGATCTGTGGACCGTCTAAAGGCTTTGCCACATTCTTCACATTTGTAGGGTTTTTCTCCAGTATGAATTTTCTTATGTTCATTCAGGACTCTGGACCGCCCAAAGGCTTTGCCACATTCATCACATTTGTAGGGCTTCTCTCCAGTATGAACTTTCTTGTGTTCATTCAGTTTTGAGGACTGTCTAAATGCTTTGCCACATTCTTCACATGTGTAGGGTTTCTCTCCAGTATGAATTCTCTTATGTTTAGTAAGAGTTGTGGACCTATTAAAGGCTTTGCCACATTCTTCACATTGGTAGGGCTTCTCTCCAGTATGAATTCTCTTATGTTTGGCAAAGTTGGAGGATGAGGTAAAGATTTTGCCACATTCTTCACATGTGATGGGCTTCTCTCCAGCATGAATTCTCTTATGTTTAGTAAGGGTTGTAAACCTATTAAAGGCTTTGCCACATTCTTCACATTTGTAGGGTTTCTCTCCAGTATGAATTATCTTATGTTTAGCAAAGTGTGAGGATGTGGTAAAGATGCTGCCACATTCTTCACATGTAAAAGGTTTCTCTCCAGTATGAATTCTCTTATGTTCATTAAATATTAAAGACCATTTAAAGGCTTTGCCACAGTCTTCACATGTGTAGAGTTTCCCTCCAGCATGAATTCCCTTATGTTGAGTTAGCTGAGAGAACTTCTGAAATGATTTGCCACATTCTTTACATTTAAAGGGTTTCTCTCCAGTATGTCTTGTCTCACATTTGTTTGAATTTGAAAACTTACCAAAAACTTTGACACGTGCTTTACATTGAAATATTTTGCTCTGGGTAGTTGACAAGCATTCATTAAATTCATTATAACCTCCTTTCTGCACCTTACACTCATTCAAACTTTTACAGCCTTTTCTTAATTGTAAATTCTCATGTCCACACTTCTCATATCTTCTCAGTATAAGTCTGTGGAATGAATCTTCTATGCCCTCCACTGGCCAATGGTCTTGGGTGAAAGGAGAACACATAGCTGAAAGAAAAAAATAACAAATTATCCCACTTACTAGACTCATATGAAAATAGTTTACAAATCTTATATAATTAGACAAAGTACATTAGTAAGATGGCGTAACAAAATACCACAGGCCATAATTCTTTTACAGACATATACATGCGGCCAGGTGACTCATGCCTGTAATCCCAGCACTTTGGGAGGCTGAGGTGGGCTGATCATAAGGTCAAGAGATCGAGACCATCCTGGCCAACATGGTGAAACCCCATCTCTACTAAAACAACAAAAATTAGCTGGGTGTGGTGGCACATGCCTGTAATTCCAGCTACTTGGGAGGCTGAGGTGGAGAATAACTTGAACCCAGAAGGCGGAAGTTGCAGTAAACTGAGATCACGCCACTGCACTACAGCCTGGCGACAGAGTAAGACCCCGTCTCCAAAACAAACAAACAAACAAACAAAAAGGCATATACATGTAACAAACATATACTAACAAAAATGCCTTTGTGTGAAATCTATAAATGAGTTAATTGTATGCAATGCCTCATGTAAGCACAATGCCAAGAGCCACATGGAACAGGAAGGAAAGTTTGTTACATTTACCCACCAACAGCTCTTCCTTCTCCCCAATATAGTATTGTGCGCTTAGGAGTAAACTGTCAACTCCTGGCTTCATCCTTTAAAGAGAAGAAAAATACTACACACATATCCTTACTTCTGGCTTTTGGGGGTCTTTACAAAAAATGGTTTCTGTCTCCAATAACACAGAGTGCTGAGAGAAGTGGTGGTATACTTTGTAAATGTTTCAGGAGCAGACTGCAGTGCTAAATACAGCCAACAGGTAGAACAAGTGATTAGACTCTTAAGAAGAAACATGAAAAACCCTTTTAACTGAAAAACAAACACAAAATTTAAGACAATACACATCCCTAGAACATGTATGAGGTTCCCATACACTCTATATCAAAGACAATTGGTTTTAGACTATGTCAGGAAAAAGCTACACTGTAAAGATTGTGACAAACAGCTTTTTGTTAATGCTCAAATAACAAGCAAACATTACAATGTATACAAAATATTGAACATGGTCCGACAATTTAAAAATTTTCAGAAAAAAAAATGAAGTACAAATTTTAAAAATTTAACGTGAATAAAGCCCAATGAGCTAAATGGTAACATGACTAAATATAATTTAAAAAATCAAAATATTAGTGAAAACATTAAAAATATTTTAAAAATCATGGAGGTAAAAGATACATGTATGTATCTTGACTGAGGAATGACTGAGGAATTTTTTAATAATGACTGAGGAATTTTCAAAAAATTGACTGAGGAATTTTCAAAATTAATGACAGGAATTTTCAAAAGTAAAAAAAGGATGTAAAAAATGGAAGAAGCTCGGCCCGGCTTGGTGGCTCATGCCTGTCATCCAAGCACTCTGGATGCCAAGGCAGGCGGATCACCTGAGATCGGGAGTTCAAGACCAGCCTGACCAACATGGTGAAACCCCGTCTTAGGAAAAAAAAAAGAAGAAGCTCAGCAAAATTCAACTAGGACACACACAGAGATGTATAACAAGGCACATATATAAGCAAAGTTTCAAAAGTCAAAGAGAAAAATGGACTCTTATGAGCAGCAAAGATAAAAGTATTATGTCATTTATAAGTATGCTCTTGTAAGATAACCAGTGAATCTGTCAACAACATTTTTTCAGAGAAGAGAAAGTTGTGATATAGTTAATGTGCTGAAGGAAAAATAACTTCTAAATGGGAATAATAAAACCAGCAAAACTGTGCTGAAAATGAAGAAAAAGTAAAGACTTTTTAAGATAACCAAATGCTGAAAGTGTATTAGCACACCTGCCTTATTAAAAAAAGATGCTGAAGTATCTTCCACTGAAAATAACATGATGCAAGAAAACATAATCATATGAAAATACATAACTTTCTGAAAAAGATATGCACATACACAAAGTTCTGTATCATTATCATAATAGTGTAAAAAACTTTATTCTCTAAAGTTTCAAAGACAAAAGCAAAAAAATGATTATAAACAGTTCACCATAATCTGGTAATAAAAATACAACAAAAAATAGGATCAGTGACATCAATAACAACATTGAGGGAAGATGCAATAAGGAAGAATTTTCAAATGAAGCCAAAGTTACATTTTTACCAGTTTAAAATATATTATTTTGGTCAGGCACAGTGGCTCACACCTGTAATCCAAGCACTTTGGGAGGCTGAGCTGGGTGGATCACAAGGTCAGGAGATCAAGACCATCCTGGCCCCAATGGTGAAACCCCATCTCTACTAAAAATACAAAAAGTAGCTGGGCATGGTGGCATGCAACTGTAGTACCAGGTACTCAGAAGGCTGAGGCAGGAAAATCGCTTGAACCCAGGAAGCGGAGGTTGCAGTGAGCCGAGATCACACCATTGTACTCCAGCCTGGGTGATAGAGTGAGAATACATCTCAAAAAAAAAAAAAATACTTTATCTTTCAGAAATTTTACAGAATTCCCAAGATACCACAAATAAAGTATCTGTATAGATATGCAAAAGTATAAGAAGTCCTATCAATACAAAAATCTAAAAGATGAATAGGAAGACCGAAAAAGAAGATAAGGGACAAAGATAAAATAATCCAGTAAAACAATTAAACAAGTAAGCTTTTCTATTTCAGCAAATTATTCACATATTTATGAAGTTAACTTTCCATTCAAAATACATGCACCAAACAAAGGGATTCCAAAAATTAAAGAACAAAATGCAACTTGTTTTTCTACAAGTCACTTGAGGTCTAATGATTAAAGGAGACTGAAAAAGGCAACATGAAAGAAGACATTTCATGGAAACAACCAAATAAGAGAAGAGGCCTAACTAATATAACACAAAATACATTTTAAGTCAAAAACTCTATTTCATAAGATATACTTTAACTAAAAGCTCATAAGTGGCAAAGGAGGACATTAAACAATAATAAAAAGCTTCATTTATTGAAAACCCATGACAAATGTGTGTAGACATATATTAATGTGTGTGTGTAAGTGTGTGTGTGTATCTTACATTAGGGTTCAAAATATATAAAGCAAATACAGAATTAAAGTAAGATATAGGGAGCAATATAATTGTAATAGGATATTCAATATTTCAATTTCTGTAATGAATAATGAAACAAGACAGAATATTCATAAGGGAATAGAAGACTTGAAAGCAGTATAAAACAATTGTGCCTAACTGAATTGTAGAGAACACTGCTCAACAACAGAATAGCTCATACAATATTCTCCTTGATAGACTACATGTTAGGGCACAAAAAAAGTCTTAACACATTTTTTTAAATTGAAATTTTACTGATCCTTTTAATGATCAAACTGGAATGAGAGTAGAAATAAAAGAAAAATAATTCTCACATTTATAGAAATCATACAACATACTCTTAAACATGCTTTTGGTTCAATGTTTAAAATAATGAATGCTATGAAGATGTCTAAACTGCTCAATGTAATGTACAGATTAAATGCAATCCCTGTCAAATTCCTAATTAAATTCTTGCAGAAAAAGAAACAGCAACACCAAAATTATATGGAATTTCAAGAAACAATGAAGCACTCAAAAATCTTCAGAAAGAGATACAATGTGAAAAATACCACAGCTCCTGATATCAAAACACATACAAAGCTAAAGAGTTAAAACAATTTGGTAAGTGTGTGAAGGTGAACACCTAAATTGATCAAATTTGACAAAAATATAAACTCTCACATATATGGTCACATGAAGAGTAATTTGGATACTCATAATTGTAGCACTGTTACTGAAAGCAAGTAAATGAAAGCAATGCAAATTTCTCTCACCAAATAAATGGGTAAATATAATTTGAAATATTAAAATAATGAAATATTACTGTTTGTAAAAAGCAAAAAATATTCTAACATGTATAATTAAGATCTTAATGACACTGTGCAACATGAAATAAGTCAATCACAAAGAGACAGAAATTTTATGAGTCAACTTACATGGCATATCTAAAGCAGTCTGACTCTAAAATAGAAAACAGAACAGTTTTTGTAAAGGGCCAGAAAACAGAAAAAGTGGGTAGTTGTTTAATGTGTATTGAGTGTTTGCTCTGCAAAATAAATGTATTCCAGAGATGTAGTGCATAAGAATATCAATATAATACAACTAAGATGAATATTTAAAAATATTTAAGATTGTAAAGTTTATGTGTTTTTGACAATTAAAATAATATCTAAAATATGAGATACAGATATATGACAGTTTTTGAAATTATCTTCAAATCACTAAAGTGTTTCTCCCATACACAGAAATATAGATTTACAAAGAGAGGGTAAAATTAGGAGGACTTCAATGACTGCCCAGAAGCACCACTGTATACACTCAAACAGAACAAGTATATAACTCATAAACAATACAAAAACAATATGCATACAGAACAAACAGACTCATATTGGAAACAGACATATGACTAACCCATATTTGACTTGTGTTCCAGTCTTACAGTGTACATAGTTGAATGCTGTCATACATTAAAATATAAAATGAAACATCCTTATCTTGTTCCAGATCTCAGATAAAAAGTTTTCTGCTCTTTCCTAACCAGTATATCAGCCATTAATCTGTCATATATGGTCTTTATTGCATTGAGGTACATACCATCTATACCTAATTTGTTGAATTTCTTAAATCACAAAGGCATATTCAATTTTACCAAATGTTGCTTCTACATTCACAATAAAAAATAAAGATGTTGGCTGGGCCCAGTAGCTCATGCCTGTAATCCCAGCACTTTGGGAGGCTGAGGCAGAAGGAACACCTGAGGTCAGGAGTTCAAGAGCAGCCTGGCCAACATGGCAAAACTCTGTCTCTACTAAAAACACAAAAGTTAGCCAGGTGCAGTGGCACATGCCTGTAATCCCAGCTACTCAGGAGGCTGAGGCAGGAGAATTGCTTGAATTCAGGAGGCAGAAGTTGTGGTGAGCCAAGATCACACCACCGCA